CATTAACCGAGAAAAAAATATTTCTGTACAGTTGTTCATCTGTTTATAAAATATTACTTAAAATGAGAGGACAGTGAATTCAAATTGCTGAGAACAAAATTTTCGTTAAGTGTGGTTTACCATATTTTCTGATGTCTCTTTCGTTTGTTTTTGGAGTGAAGAGATTTATTAACGGCGTTGCTTCTGCATAATTATTGCACCATTTTGTCCAAGGTTTGTAGTCGGTAACGTTGTCAGGTTGTTCCTGCCAACCTCGTCAAATACTGCATACAGTCTCTCGAGGATTGGAATTTTAAATGGTTTTACCGTGTCCCCACGAAGATGGACAGGAGCAGCGTTTGTCCTCGGCAAGTATCGCGTTTCTATGCCTCAGGCAAGGCCATGATCCTTCAGCAGGTACCCCTTCTGCCCTCGATAAAACTTAATCAACACTCCGGAGCTGTTTTTGACTACAGTTTTCTCTTCCTGTTGGCTTCTCCCTTCCTGGACTCATCACGCATTGGAACAGCGACATTCAGTAAACAAGTCTAAACAAATGGCGACGACAAGCTTTCACATGTCGGCTCTTTTAACACGAAGAACTTTTTTAGTGAAGGTCAAAAAAATTTAGTGAACTCGGAGAATAATGAAAATTTATCTAACTATCAACTGTGAAAACAAAAACCTTCACTTTGAAGTATTTCGTTTAACTTTAGCATATTTCTGACGATTGTTCAACTATACTTTGCTTGACACCGGTCTCTGCAATGGTTTCAATTAAAATTTCGCGCGGAAAATTTCCCCGGCCCGGACCGGATACGAGTGCATTGCGCATGCTCGAGCGTTTGACCGCGGCTAACCCTAGAAGAAGGTTTGTAAAGAGTGAAGAGCTGGATCCCACTATTGGTGACTTAGCGCCATCTTCTAGAGAGTGGCAGCCCTCAAATGCAATCACTGGTATTTTAGACAATTGAAATTAATGGCATTCTGTATATATTTGAGTTGAAGACCGGCTTTCACTTAACTTCTCAGAAACTTGCTTTATTTTTTTCAATGCTGTTTTGGTCCTCCTTCATCGTCCAGCCAGGACTACTGATGTAGAACCACCATCTAATAACGTACATGTACCTTCTGATTCTCACGAAACTTCTGATACCATTTACTTGCTGAGGCAACGTGGCCTAGGTAACAGTGTAACCAAACTGCAGAGAAAGGATTGTAAACACTTCAGGGATGCTTCCAACATTGGCCTTATTACTTGCCCAAAATTGAAGATCACCGACTGGACTCGGGTGCCATCATACAAGTGGTTCCCTACTGCTTACGCCCAAGATATTCTGCCATGCATTGAAAAAGTTAAGTTAGGAATCAGATCCACTTTTGGAAAAATAATTAAAATGGATTCCAGTAAAAAATTGTTGAGAAGCTGGCAGGACAAAACACTGCAACAGCAGCGTAGGTGAAAATGTTGCAAAGAAGACAGGGCAGATATCGATGAGTGTCCTTACTGCTAGTGACAGAGAAGGACTAAAACCAATGGCAGCAGGCCTAGTGAAGAGACACTCGGATGCAGGTGTATCCCCACCCACAGTTCTTTATGTTGATCATGACTGTCACAGAGGTATTGCAAAGGAGACAAAAAGACTCCTCTCCAACTCACAAGGAGTGGAGTCAAAGATCCAAGTGAGGAGGACGTCATCAAAAAATCAGCAAAAAAGAGCTTGCGACCCATTGCCACAGAAAAACCCCTGGTGTGAAAGAAACAACTTACTTGATCCATGACTTGATTGACACATTCCAAGATGAGCAAGGAGGTGGGATTTTCAGAAAAGGCACATTGCATGTATTCAGGATCCTGATGAAGTACAGCTGTATATAAAAACAGGAGCGGTCACAAAGGGAGGTGCTGAGCTGCCTCTGTACAGATGTACCCGGGGATCAATGGTTTTAAAACTTATCATGGATTGTTTTTCTCTTAATTGTGTCAACAACAAAATGCTTGTATATGATTGGTTCTTAACAGCCCACATTTATAGCTTTATTTTGCTATATAACTTCAAAACTGTCCGATTTGACCTGTACGATTACCAGAAGCTTGTAATCGGACAGGTCAAATCGTACAGTTAAAGAACCAATGAAAATCAAGAAGCAAATGCCACTAGCCTATGAAATTTCACTACATGGCACATGATAACCAATCAAAATCAATGAAAAAATTGTGACCAGGTAAGCTGTCCAGCTTCAACTGGAAAAGAAAAATGGATGAAACTAACTGGTCCAGTGACTTTTATTCCGACATTTTTTTAGGCTTTGACAGCCTGTTTAATATAATTGATTAAGAAAACCTTGAAAGTAAACAAAACAGCAATACAGTTCCTGAAGTCTTAAATACAACAAACCGAGAGAGCGAGCGAGCTGTCCTGGCAGAAACAACGATGGAAACAAACAACTTACTGGCACCAGACGAGTCCAGGTTTCCACTTACTTCCAAAGGGCAAATACAAGAGACAATTAAAGAAGCAGAAAATAAGAACACGCTAAGAAGTACAAATACGTGGATGAGAGTTTGATATTCCTGGGCAAAGTCACGTCAAATAAACGAGAGTATAGAAACAATGGTGCCCGCAACTTTAGACGGAGTCCTCCAAAAATTTTATCTGGAAGTGAGAAAGCAAGACGGCTCTGAGTATGAACCGGACTCACTTAAAGTTATGCAAGCGGCCCTGGAATGGTACCTATCCACCCAGAAATATCCATACAGTGTGACAAATAGTCTGGAGTTCCCATCTTCAAGAGCTGTTCTTGAAGCAAAAGCAAAACAACTACGAATGAATGGTTACTGCGAGAGAAAGAATCGCGCCCTGCCGTACAACACTGCAGAAGAAGAGTCCTTCTGGTCAAGTGGTCTGTTAGGCGACCACGATGGAGTGGCTCTCACAAACGTTAACTTCAAAAATTTCTCCGAGCACTTCGGATTTCGTGGCCATCAAGACCATTACGACGCTTATGTACAAGATTTTGAAGCTGCATGGATCCAGATCCAGGGAGGAGAATTGGCAAAGTGCGTTCATTTCAATGAAAATCCCACAAAGACCCATTCCGGTGGCCTTTCAGCAAAACACAGAAAAACTCCTCAAGGGATGTGGGCCACAGACAGTGGATCAAGAGATCCGGTCCGGCTTTTTGAAGAATTTCTGAAAAGGCGCACATTAGAAATGCGAACCTCTGGGCCTTTGTACTTGGCAATAATACAGCGTCCAAAAACCGAAGTTTGGTATGTCAAGTCCAGGACGGGCGAACACAAACTTGGCAGCATTATGAAGACCCTAGCACAGACGATCAGCATCGATGGAAAGAAGATTTCAAATCATTCCACCAGAAAAGCAGTTGTCACCAAATTGAAGAAAGCCGGACTATCAAGGCACAAACTAATTCAAATCATGGGCCATGCAAACAAAACCTCGCTGGATGACTACGACAAGATTGATGAAAAAGAAAGGAGAACTCTGTCACATATCATAAGCGGCTATTCTGGACCATCCACAACGACAAGTTCTTCCAAAGCATCACCGCCAAGCTCAAATTCATTGCCAGTTCCAACTCCAACAGCTGCTGTCGTGCCATCGAGCAAATATGCAACGTCTTCATCAACTTCGCTAGGTGCAGCCATCAGCCAAGCAAGCGCTTATTCTCGCGCCCATCTGTATTCCAAAGTCCAGTCTCCAATTACACGAACAAACGACCCAGCAGTTCAGCAATTCCACAACTGCACTGTTAACGTCCAAAACTACTTTGGGCCGCAGTCAACAAATCAAGCCAGTTCTTCTAGAGTAGAATGTCAGATCGGCAAGATAACAAGCCCAAGTATTCCAAGACGAAAGCGTAAACAAGCTTACATTATTGACTCTGATGAAGACTGAATTTTAACACTGACTGTTTTCTCTCACATACTTATTCACTTTGTCCAAATATTCATGCTTGAAAAGTTAAAAGTTGTTAACCATATGAGCCGTTCTCGAAAATGTCGTCCGTAACGAAAGTGTTTTATGAGCGGGTGATCTCGTACACCTTATTTGGTAATGTTGAGCTAGTTGTCAATCACTTGTCAGTTCAAACAAGTTGTACCATTTTCGGTTTCTTTGGGATGTTCATATTTGCCTTGCAATCTGTAAGCTGACGAGACAAGCTGTACTTCAATTCCATTACTTAAAAAATTCTCAAAAAAATTCAAAAATTCTCATTTTGTTCAAATATTGACGTACATGTATTTTAATTAAAAATATACGTTTTTGAAAAAAAGATCATCCTGCGGTCGGGCTTCCACATCAAAGTTGAAACCAGTCATTTTTCTGCTTTGGAATCTATTTCTTACGTTAATAAATACCGTAAAATTCCGAAAATAAGCCCCTCCAAATATAAGCCCCCCAAAATCGTAACGCAAAAAACCCTCTGTTAAATTGCCCCTCCGAATATAAGCCCCTCAGAGGGCTTGTACTTGGAATTTGCCCCAGTGTTCGACACTAACGCTTGCCCACTTGCCCGGGGCAAGTAGAATTATGCGTTGGGCAAGTGTGTAAGCTGCACAGGTTGCCTGTCTGGGCAAGTCGTTAAGGATAACACTCGAGCAGCTGGGACAAGAAAAAAATCCAACAGCTGCAGCAAAATCACCTGATCCCTTTTTTAAAATTTTAGTCAGGTGAACATAGAAGGAGAATGAAAAACAAGTACAGTGACGGGTCCTTACGCCGATACATTGAGTATTTCGTTTTCCGCCATGTTTTTCTTCACGAGCAAGTAATCATGGGTAAGTTTGTACCCAGTCCTCTCACGTACTTGCCACAAACTACCAAACAAACAAAGATGGCAAAAGTCACTGGACACAGTCACTAAAAGTGAGGACATCCAAGCAACACAACAGCTAAATTGTACAAAGCTTAAGGAACCAGGAGACAAGAGAAAAGCTGAATCTCAACCAGAGGTCTTTGCTGGGAAAAGCAAACGAGATCGAAAATACCAAACGTCATTGGAGCGCGACTTTCCTTGGCTTGTACACGATGAAGAAAAGAACACCATGAAGTGCAAAATTTGCTGTTCTTTTCCCGAAATTGCTGACAAATCTAGCTCCCTGTTCATTGGAAACGGTGCCTTTAAGCGTACTACCATTCAGGCCCATGCTAAAAGTAAAACTCACTTGAAGTGTTTTGAAGCAAACTCTGCTCGGGAAAACCCATGTGCCGCACCTATGAGAATGTTCAGTGCTACGAAATATGAATGCACAAGTCAACGAAAAACTGCAAAAGCTTTTCAACAGTGCCTATTTTATAGGCAAATTTATTATTTCTTCAAAGAGTGAAGACAAACAAACCAGAGAGAACAAAGATTCGATTATAACTGTATTATGCACTCTATCAATCAACGTCTTTAAGAAGCCTCCAACAAAAAGCCTATCATATGTATTGTAAACGTCATTCAAACATGACTGTGTTGATTACAATGAAATAAAGTTGAATTTTTTTACGGTTAGCAGGCAATGGTACCGTATGACCTCTTGCCTGGGATTTATGCTAGGCATTAAAGTTAGAAGGCACAACTATTGAAAATTCAATGAAACTGTGCGCAAAGCGAGCTGGTGATTTTTTTTGACAACCAAAAAATACACTCGGCAAGTAAAACTAGCGACACAGTAGCCCACAGCCCACCTTCACAAGCAGCATTTCAACTGGTAAGCCTGAGCAATTATTGTCCTTGATGTGTTTTTTTTTTTTCGGTTTCCTGAAGTCGAGCGTATGGTTTATGCGGCTTAAGTTTATACACGAGCAATGATCTAACCTAAAATAGTATCAGGTTTAAAACGCCTTTAAACATTTTTTGACCGCAAATTCAAAGAAAAGGTTCCGGAGATTATTACTTCAGCGGAGCGCGAAGTAAAGGATTCGCGACGCTCAGGAATGTATCAAAGTTGCAATTTTTTGACAAGATTGGGCAAGCAAAGTCTGTAGGTTTTCGGCTCTATTTGGCTATTTGACGAAGTGAGAGCCGAATTAGTTCGAGATATCTCGAGATCACTTCAATTTCTTTGATTTATTCTTTAACTTTTTCGAGGAAGAAAGAATTACTATTTTGGCCTTCCCGGGGTTTGAACCGACTCACCTGTGTGACCCGTCAGATTAGAGGAGACTCTAAGTTGACCGATTAGCCAATCGCGCTACTGCAACCCAAGGTAGTTTTGGATATGAAAAATAGTTATGAAATGATGCACTACTTTAGGGACGAGATTGGGCGTGCAAGTTCATGACTTTTCGGCTTGTTTCAACTATTTCACGAAATGAGATCGGACTACTTCGTGATATCTTGAGATCACTTCAAGTTTAGTCTTTAATTACTCGAGGAATAAATAGAGGATATTTCGTGGCCGCGCAGAGACACGGAATTTCTCTTCGAGTGTTGAAAAACATTTCATGAGTGAGCCCTCCTTTCAAACTGTTTTATGATGAATTTAACGTTACAAAATGCTGCACAAAGACATTTTGTCTTTGTTGAGTGTTATGTAGTAAAATTGCTTTCATGCGTTGCGTGACTTTCTCGAACGTTCTCTACGTTTTTGGATTACCCATGAATAATTAATTAGGGCATGTTTACATTTCAGCATGAGTCAGCAGATTTGCATCAGTTACTGAAATCATAAAATATGTCGAAAAGCTACTACTATTCGCCTGTTTAGTATTTTCTAGAACCTTATGTCAAACAGTATACAAGTTACAAGCGAGTTCTTTTGACAAACTAACTTTTTTCCCACGAGCTGGACTGCTGTGTTTAGTCAACTGTGACGAAGGTCGATTTTCAGGTTCTGTGTTTACAAGTTCGCGGAAGCCGTAAGATATCTGAAGTTCAAGTGAGAGGTTGTTATTATTGGCAGAGGCTGTTTAGTTTTACTCAAAGTTCAAGTCAAGTTTGTGTTGGCGGATACTGTTTTAAAGCTCTGTAAAGGCTATGTTCCTTTGCGTGTTAAACTTCCTTGTGTTAATCCGACATCCCTGCGTGCTGATAGTCAGTGAATAATTATCCTCACAACATTCGAACTCGTGACTTTGAGTTTTAGCCAATTCCATTCTCAATGAATTGACTCCTTACCCATGCCTTACATATCTTTAATCAGTACATGAGACTGCTATGCTGTTTTTGAAGCCTGATGTGACTAAGAAAAATAGAGAATTGTTTTTTAGAAGGATTTGTATGGAGTCATCAGAGCATAACTGGGCTAATTTCGCGGAGACAATTTGTCCTGAAATGCTAGTTTTTGGCAAGTAGGCCTCTTGGATGTTGCTCTTTTCAGAATATCCTGACAAATCCCATAATTTCACACCTTACTCTTACCATATTTGATTTCTTACTATTCCTCTGCATTTACAATTAATTAGTTCCACAACCACGACACCGAAGTGTATGCTAGCTCCGTAGCGTCTTGTTTAGTTATGATTTTGGCTATAAACAGAAAGCTCTGAGCGATTTTCTTGCCTCGAGTTCATCTTGAAAAAGAGCAAACACCGAGAAGCCGCAGCTTAAAACATAAACAAGTATATGCTTACCTCACTCATGATTTTCAGAGACACTTTACTCTCAATACTTCTCTTCGTTAATGAAAATTATTGTCTCTGTACATGTTTCACCAAATTGTATTTATTTTATTGATTGTTACTAGTCCCTCCTGTAATTTTTATCGCTGCACCGGTTGTTTCTAGTCGAAGATAAACATCGCATGCAGGAATACTCAAAACGCCGCGTGTAAATATCACTGGCTTTTAAAGATTACACGTAACAAAACCATACACAGTTTAATAAATAAAGGGAAATAAAACCTAAACATAACAATTTCTCTATCATGTTGAAGCGTAAATGGTAACTCTATTAATTGCACTGCAAATTTGCGTGTCAAAAGTGAGAATCCGTCTGGCTGGCCGAAAAGGTGATTTGGGGAATTTTTTTATCGTTTTCACTAAAAGCCCATAATTATTACCCTACATATCACATAGGACCAGATTTTTCTACCGGAAAAGTCCTGCATTATGGAATTCTTTTCACGAAAACGTTTTACTTCAATGCTATAATTTCTTGTGCAAAGGAAGCGCGTGCTATTGAATGGTGCAAATTGTGTTGCAAAATTGTGAAACACTGCAGAATTATATGGCAAAAAACGAACAAATTCTGTCCGAGGTCTGTATGATAAAAAAAGGGCCTCATAGTACTGTTTATCTGAGACGTG